GCCAGATAGTTAGGACTGCATTCCAGGCTGGTTGGATAACAGCTGGAGGGTTTTCTTATAGAGAAATAAAAAAAAGAGGCATCAACAGCGAGGCTCTTACTTTCCATTTCATCATACATCAGTATCAGAGGTTGGTCATCAGCTCTGAGGAAAGGGATTCGTCCCCGAAACACGTCAGCCATTTGACCGCACTGACAGTGAGAACACCTTGCCTGCCGTTGTGGCCATTGTCATTTTTCTATGCTTTTTAGATACATGCTTCGTCTGTGAGTATGTGTTTATTATTTCACTCCTACAATAAACCTTGGATATTGCACTAGGTGTGTGCGCCACCTGTTTTTTCTCTATCCAGTGGCTGATTTCCCCATCTGAGGAGGGCTGCACCCCTGGAACATTTCCTTTGGTTGTCGTTGTCCTGGTACCCTTGGCTTCCCTTTTGGCTGTGCATATCCTGAGGCGCTGGAGAGTACATACGACATGGAGGGTTTTCTTATCACTGCAGAGCTTGTCTTCAGGTCTCTCACACAAAGACATCCTCAGAGGTCCCTATAACTAGACTTTGCTGCAACATTCATCCGGAGGTATTGTTATTAATAACTATATAACTGGATATATGCACAATTTCACCAGGACTGTGCATGGCATGTATGTACTGTTTTTAACATCTTCTTATATAAAGCTTTTATTATTTCCATACTGGTGTGCATCTATATACTTATGGTTAATAGTATATGCTGGTGTCACAGTCTGGAGTTAGGTTCGGAGGCTAGAAGCTAAAGCATTATAGAGGGGTTTCCACCAACCAGCAGGATAGGTATACATGCAGGTCACCCTGGTGGATGACACGGGCTCACCCGAGGTGTGGGGTCTAAACATTAACCAGTATTCACTAGAGCTCCTGATGGTGGAGATGGGTTATGGTGCATGTTAGTACCAGGTCGCAGTCCTGATGATCACCCCACCATGAGGTGAGCAAGCCAGGGTACAGTAGTAGATATAGCAGGTAGGGATCAAGCAGAAGCATAGTCAGTAAACAAGCCAAAGGTTGGTAACAAGTGGTTGAGGGTTGGGATTAAGCAGAAGCGTAGTTGAGGAACATGAAAAGGTTGGTAAGGATTGGTAGCGGAAATACGGAAGGCAGCAAGAGTGACAAGAGCGAGATATTGCCTGGAGAAGGCACAATAATCTGGCAAACAGGAAGTGCAAAGGCATGGCTTACATAAGAAGTTCATAGAAGGAACAAGGAGTTCTAGGTTCAGCAGAAAAAAAGGCACAAGGCGGGATTGTCAAGGGGATCTGACAGGGTGCTGTTCAGTGGATCTGACAGGGTGTTGTCCAGTGGATCTCACAGGGTGCTGTTCAGTGGATCTGACAGGATGCTGTCCAGTGGATCTGACACTGTGCTGTCCAGTGGATCTGACACTGTGCTGTCCAGCATCTCAGGTGGCTCAGCAAGGCGAGTTGCGGCCAGCCACTGCAGGGGTCCTGGATTCAGATCCATGCCCTGACAGCTGGCTATTCGCCCAGGAAGGGTATCCCATCTGTTCACAAAGGCCCTGTTCTGGGTAAGGCACTGACACTTTTATTATCAAACCCACTCTTCCACAGTTACCTACAGGTTTAGTGCAATGTCCTGTTTGAGGAGGGTCACTTCTCATAAACCCACCCAAAAGAGGGCTACACTGGATTTTTGGCAGAGCAACAGGTATTCCAATGTTTTTCATGGCAAAAAGCATTTGAAAATGTGTATGTATGAGATGTACTGGTTCAAGATAAGGATGACAGTCTTATATACTGCATATTAACCATTTCGATACTGGGCACATTCACCCCTTCCTGCCTAGGTCAATGTTCAGCTTTCACCATTGTCAAACTTTGAATGACAATTTAATAACCACTGGGTTTTTAAGTTTTTGCTAAATAAACAAAAAAGACTGAAATTTAAAAAAAAAGTGAATTTTTCTTAATTTCTGCTATACAATGTTGCAAACTAAGTAGTCTATATTCATATATTTAGGGCAACATGCCTTCTGCTTTGGTGAAAATAACACAAATTGGTGCATATTATTTAGGCTGTAGGAAAGTTAGAGCCCACAAACTATGGAATATATATCTGAAAATTGATCAATCTTGATGTACTGATGGACGATCTCATCTCCTGAGGACAGAAAACACCAGGACAGTACAAATGTCCCCCCAAATGTCTCCTTTTTGGAAAGTAGACAGTCCATGGTATTTAGCAAGAGGCATGGCAAGTTTTTTTGAAGTAATTAATTTTTTGGAAAATGAAGAAATTACATTTTTTTTTACATACTGTCACAAATGCATTACAGCATCATCATAAAACTGGTGTGGCAGTGATCACGGACACTGACTAGTGACAGTATGTAAACAAATGTAATACTTTTTAAATTTTTTTAAAATATTTTTTTCTTTTTCTATTACATTTTGTTTCTTTTTTTTACATGCTGGGACCAGAGCAATACAATATTACCATATTAATATTATACTACTCTGGGAAGGTGATCGGGTATTTTATTTTTTATTACACTTTATGACTGCTTATAACAGTGAATTTCACCGTTAGAAACAATAATTTTCATTGAATGAAATCGATTCATTCAGTGTATCTTGTTGTGATTAACTGTGATTGGCCACAGCTAATCACATGGGACAGATGGGCTGTGACTAGCACTGTCTGTACCATGTGATCACTGTGACCAACAATATAGTACCACTTGATGGCATGAATGAAAACCATCCATTGTGTACAATCATCATGTGATCTGCTGTGATTTTCTGATTGGTCACAGCAATCACATGGTACTGCCAGCAGGCCGGTACAGTGATCTGTCATCGACTGTGTCCTGTGCACATAGCAGGTGACAGCGCAGCCTGTGGGGCCAGCGTGAGGCCTGTTCTGCGAAGGACGTCATATCATGTCCACCCAGAACGAGAGAGCTCCCACCCAGCCTAGATAGATTAGATAGATTAGATGATTAGATAGATAAATACAATTTGAATCTTTGTTTGTTTATTTTTAGTTTATTGTGGTATCATCCAACTCTAAGCAGTAAAACATAGTAGTTACCATAATACAATACTTTCAATGGAAACATAATCATTGTTTAAACAAACATAGCTGTGGTTGTTCCCATGAGCTATCTGAACTAGGGCTCCTTTGAGAACAGACAGACACACAAAAAAAGTATCAAGGGACTTTTTATTAAAAATAAGCCAGTTTCAAGGCCAGGGGAGGGGGGAACTAAGGTCTGTAAGAATAAAACACAGAAAACATTTGTGATAAAACTATGATCACCTAGCCATTTCTTACCAGGGTGGACAGGCTTTGGTATTTTTAATCCAAGTTTCAAACATTTAATCATATTTTAGGAAAACAGTAGCTTCAATGTAATGATTAATATGTGTGCTGTATCAAGAGAAAATTAATTGAAATAACAATTCAGTAGTCAAGGTTGGAGAAAACTGGTTAGGACAAAACAGAATAAATTATCTATGCACAGAACATTAGGTATTACTTCATGTTTTAAATTCATATATTCAAGAATGATAAATATTTATTTGTGACCATTTTACAGATAAAGCTTAGGTAATAACATTGCTTATTTGTAATATTCCTCTTATGGAAAAATATGTGATTTTCTTTTTTACAATTGTTATTTATGGTTTTTGAATACTATATTTTAATTAAACAAATTCCAAAAATACATACAATACAACACGAGGAAAACAATTGTCAGTGCAAATGACAAATATAAGAGAAAGGCAATTACGTAAGTGATAGAAGGGGAATTGTATACATTTAAATGCAGCAGCTAAATAGTTGGGTTGATTTACTAAAGAAGCAGAAGCTGTTAATAATAAAGCAAATGTTTACTTTGAATAGTGAATGTTGGTGAATAATGATGAAGCTGTGTTCACTCTGAACACCCAATCATGTGCTAGCAAAAATCTTTTTTTTCTCCAGCACATGAATATGTAGTCAAAACATTCTAACATTCACTCTTGAAATAGAACATAGATTTCAAAGTTAGCATTCATGTGAAGTCATGCTCATTTTGAATGCCAAACATGTACTGTACTAGCAAAAATTATTTAACCTTCCTTAGCACATCTTGCTGGTGATTTACTAAAATTGGTGCACACAATGTCTAGTGCAGTTTTGCATAGTAACCAATCAGTTTCTAACTTCAGCTTGTTCAATTAAGCTTTGACAATAAAAACTAGAAGCTGATTGGTTACTATGCACAGCTGCACCATATTCTGTATGCACCAGTTATAGTAAATCTTCCCCCTTGTGTATTCAAAGTTGGTACAGATTTACTTTATTTTTATGATCTTTATTCACATTTTACAGTTAACATTCTTTTTGCTTACATTTAGAAAGTTAACATTGAAAGTTGAACATTCTTCCCTTAGGCCAGTGTTTCTTACATTTATGGACCCCAACAAGTTTTATTTCCATTTATTTTGCACTTTGATGATCAGTTTCACTGTGTAATTACCACAGCTGTTTCATCTGAGGGAAATCCTGAAAACTCTGTTGGGGGTCCCTGGAGTTGAGGCTTAGGCTTAGAGAATCATCACCAATATATGACAATGAATGAATAGAAATGTATAGTTACAGCTTTTACTATTAAAATAATTATTACATAATTGTTAATTTAGATTAGTAACATAAATTGTCTCTAACAACATAAACTGTATATGAAACAAGCATATAGTTCACACAGTGTATGTACATATGATTGTATATGTATAGCATGAAACAAGTTAAAGCATTAGGAAGACCATATTAACAAGATATTCATGTAGTTCCATGTAGTTAGTCCATTGCAAACGACATAGTGTTTAAGATGACATGGGGATAGAGTTATATACTGTATATGTTGCAATTTAATTAATTCATTTGACCCTCATTTTCCTGTCTAGAGTCTAGCACAGTCAGGGACGGACTGACCATTTGGAAATTCGGGCACTGCCCGGGGGCCCGGGTCAGTAGGGGGCCCCATGAGATGCCCCTGGTACCTTTTTCATAGGCTTTGTTGAGTTTGGGCAAGGACACAGGGGCCCCATGATCCCCTATTGCCCCTTGAGTTGTCAGTCCACCTCTGAGCACAGTACAAGACTTCTATGCAGGAACTGTTAGGTTTATTATTTCTGGCTTAGCCCAATGCAAATTCTTAATTTTGGAATTTTTGTGGGTAATAGAGATGGTGGTGGTGGTGATGGTGGATGGTGGTGGTGGTGGTGGTGGTGGGGGGGGGGGGGGGGGGTTTGGTGTTGAGCTACAGTTTTTAAATATTGAGTGCAGTACTGAAAAAAAGTAAAAGCAGGCACCTGATTGTTCCCTATAACACAACTCCTACTTTAGCTAGCTGATCCCTAGAACATGTTTACTTTAAGTATAGATTTTATTATATAAATATATAACTTAAGGCCCCTTTTAGATGGGGCGTGATCCACCTGCTCAGTGGGGGATCTCTCCGCTGATCCCCACTGAGCAGGTGGATGACAGGTCTCTGTCTGCTCTGTTGATTTCAATGGGACGGTTGGATGGAGATGGAACACCTGTCCATTTCCACCCGATTGTCATCCAATCCATTGGACAGATCCCATCCGTTTGTTTCTGGTGTACAGGATCGGATGCCGGCGGGTGACAGCAGCTATGGTCTACTTGCCGGTCCATTGAAGTCTATGGATGAATCGATCGGGTCCTCCTGAGAAACAGACAGGAGGACTCCATCAGTCCGCTCATGTGAAAGGGGCCTAAGACATCATTTAAAATTTCTGCCTAAACCTAAAATCAAAATAATATTTAAAGGAGAGACATGAAGGCAGCAGTTCTTTGAGCAATATTTGTCGGTGTACAGTTTATGTTATTTTGATATTAGTGCTGTGTATTTTCAGGGTCTTAGAAGCATAGACTCTGCTATGAAATATGCAGTTGTCATTTTTTATTTGTCAGTAATATTGTGACCACATCTAATTTTTTTCTGCCTCTATTAGTTTTAAGGGCTCAGTAAATTGTTTTATTTGATTATTTTTGTATCTAATTAGTTTTTAGAATTCTAATTAGTTCTTAAACTCAGTATACTTTCATCTCAGAAATAAAGACCACTCCACAAAGTTTCCCAAACTGTTATTGTTGTTTCTGATCACAAAAAATGCCCTGTTAAATTATGATAAAAAGTTAAAATGAGGTCTAAAAGAAACCACAATCTTGCTTTAGTTACCCTGGGAATTTACAGTCTTTTCAGACATTCCCGGATCTTCCCAGATCTTAATATCTAGTCTAAAACTGAAAATATTTACTGTATTTCTCAAGTACCCATCTTAGCTTGCCCAATATGATTGTTTTTTTTTTCCAGTCACAGCCTTCTCTTGTAACATAATTGAAAAGCTAACTTACTTCAAGGAACAATGTACCTATTTCCTAGTTAAGCAACTGGTCCCCTTTACTTGCTGGCTATGTGCTGAATGGCTGGTCTGTAATGATGCTCTTTGTCGATGGGTTTTTAAGCTAGTTCTTGAGCTGGAGCCTACAGTGAAAGTGTCAGGTTTAAGACCCCCACCTGCCATCCACTAGTTCTAAATGAGTCCAGGTTCCATACTTTAGTTAACCCTAGGCCTATGTGGGAATCACTTGTTTGCAATTCATTTGAGAGGCTCCAGTGGTTGCAGGTTTAGTCCATTGGGGATGCCATCCCAGACCTCAGACCCATGAAAATGGGGGTCTCATGTGACCTGGCCACTGAGCCTAAAGGAACCTTCCTGACCACTGCCATTAATGGACCCTCCTTCACTAAACCACTACTCATCACTGACCTGAACCAGCTATTATGTTCACACACCCCAAGTATTGGCTGTGCCCTCACATCTCCAAGTGAATACACAACTAGGCCAGCATTTTAACTTGCTAGCAGCAGTCTCACAACATCTGGCTGGTAATAGGGTATATAGGGTAATAGGGTAACTTTATTGGTAAAGTTGATCCAAGGAATATCCGATTGCCTCTTGGGGGATCAGGAAGGAATTTTTTCCCTGCAGGAGCAAATTAGATAATGCTTTGCTGGGTTTTTTTTTCCTTCCTCTGGATCAGCTGTGGGTGTAGGATTGTAACTTTTTTTTTTTTTTTTTTATAGTTGAACTGGATGGACATTTGTCTTTTTTCAATCAGACTAACTATGTAACTATGTAATCTAGCTTCACATACAGACAGTCTTCACCCAACATATCACAAAGGCACTTTAGAACTTTTAGTGAATAAAATACAATTATATACAGTCCAAATATGTGGAGGAAAGAATGTCTAAAACATAGTAAATGTTGCAAAACATATTGGATCAATTTTTCCATCTTGTTTCACTATTGTTAGGTGTTTCAGGAGGTGTGTTGTGGGGCTCATGATTCAGTGCATAGGTCAAACTGTGAATTGCAGGTATTGTCCCTTTCCCCACATTACAGGCCTGAGGCCTACTCGCTTTTCCCGATGGTGATGTGTGCACATATTCTATCCTTTGATGGTTTAACTTATCCATCGAAGGAGACCCTGTTAATTGAGAAGAATGGCTTAACTTCTACATAGTGTTGCAGAACATAGAACAACTTCCCATCCTCCTCGCCTAACAGTTTCCCATTCCCTCAAGTAGAAGCACAAGGGTAGGCAGGGAAAAAGGATGGAGAAACCCTAAAGGTCTCCACACCACCCCTCTGTATTCCTGCTGCATGCCGTGCTGACAGCACCACATCAGCACTGTTTACTTACTTTAGGATTCCCCACCTCTCTACCTTTGGCTGTGCCCTCTCAGCATTCACCAGTCCCCTGCTGCAACTCAGGGCACTGATGTGCCTTTGCAAGGTCTTGCTGTCTGCACCACTCAGCCACTGCCTGCCACTGGTATGGAACCTAAATATAGTAAATATATTAAAGAATAGTGTGGCAAACAGACAGCTAATCTCATACTGCAGAGCAAAATGATAAGGTATTGCTCAGCCTGCTACCCTCCTGGGATTTCCTATGGTGGACCATGCAGTTAATATGTACACCTCAATGGAGATGAGATGACATGGTAGGTACCCTTGTGTATCTAACTAATTTGACACGGCTCATCTCTGTCAGGCTGCACTTGCTGCAAGACCTCTCTCATGATACTGTTGTTGATAAAAAAATTAGCTATATCTCCAGTCTACATACAGATTTTTTTTCTATGTGATGTGCTCATAAAGGGGAATATTGCTATGCAATGTATGTTGTGTATGTGTTTGTCTACCAACCATTTTTTAGGCATCCACTAAATTTACAGAGGTACTGAAGAATCTGTTGACTGGCAGAATGATGAATAAATCAGTGCTTTTACAGGTTTTTTAAAAGATTGGTTAGTTATACATTTCCAATTCACCCTGCTACAGGACCAAATGAAGCTGTGTACCAGGTGGAGATGGTTCTCCTGTAGGCTGAAGTGTGCAAGGAGCAATGAGATGAGACCTTTGTTCTGTTAGGGAACCAGGAACTCTAGCCAATGTGCTTTTAGTTCTTGATTCCATTGTGGATGGAAGGATTGCAAAATTCTGGGCAGCCATGAATGTGTGTAGCAAATACTGCAGAGACAATATTTACATAAAACAACCAGCGATACAGGAATGAAGTTCCTGGTAAAATACTGGCATTTAATGCCCAAACAAAAAGAAGACTGAGCACCAGTTAGCTGGATCACTAGAATGCTTTTTGTAATACATGTTAGCTTGTTTTATCATATGAGTGATCTACTGTAAGTTTCTTACTGAAGTTAAGATAAAATAAATAAATAAATAAAGACTTTATTAAAAAAAATAGGTTGCATAATTATTTTCTCTTCTCAGGTGCACTGAATTTTTATTTTGAAAAATCGAGGACTAATTTTTTTTTTCTGATTTCCTGTTTTCTTTTTCAGAAATCTGTATTTTATACAGATTTCTACATATTTTATATATACAGTATATCTATTTATCTTTATAGTAGAATTTTGAATTTTAGGAATACTCTAGATGTAATTGCCAATACCCCATTAGAAATGATTTCTCTCAATCAAACCACATTCGTACTTGTTGGGTTCACTTTTGGCCCTTGGGTACAAAATGGCATGTTTTTACTTTTTTTACTACTTTATTCTATATCACTAACTGGAAACACGTCAATAATTGCAGCCATATGGCTAGACAGACGTCTTCATATTCCCATGTATTTTTTCCTCACCAGCCTGGCTTTCTTGGACATTTGGTTCATATCATCCACAGTGCCAAAACTGCTCACTATCTTGGCTTCCAATAACAGAAAAATTTCTTTACCTGGATGCTTTCTACAGCTTTTATTTTTATGTTTCTCTTGGAACTATAGAATTTTTATCTTTTGGCAGTCATGTCAGTAGACCGGTATGTGGCAATCTGTCACCCACTGAGGTATCATTCAATCATCTCCCGCAGGGTCTGTCTTTGGTTGGTTTTAGTGTCATGGATATTTGGCTTTCTTACTTTCATCTACCCCACAGTTCTACTGTTTGGTCTGTCTTTTTGTGGACCATATGAAATCAATCATTTTTTCTGTGACAGCTCCGCAGTAGTGGAGATCAGCTGCTCAGATATAAACCAATTTGATATGGTCTTTGCCAGTTTTGCTTCAGCTGTAATTTTGGGCTCATTCATCCTTACTTTGATTTCTTACTGCAATATTCTTATCACTATCCTAATGATACCCTCAGCCAGTGGAAAATCAAAGCTTTCTCCACTTGTACTTCTCATTTCACAGTGGTCTCATTAGTCTATGGCAGTGCCATCTTTATATACGTACGTCCAGTGGAAAGTTCATCTCCTGACCTTAATAAAATTGTAGCAGCACTTCTTAACAGTGTCCTGACACCAGTGCTTAATCCATTTATATACAGCCTGAGGAATAAGCAGGTCCAACGGGTTTACAAGGATTTGGAGAAGAGGTTGCTTTTGAAAAAGTAAATTACAATTTGTGAAGCTACAAATCAAAGCATTTTATTATGCCATCACCTAAAAGTATATTTGATGGGCTGCCCACATCTATTATGAAACTCTTATGAAAATTG